ATACAGTACACTAAAAACAAATGTCCAATAAATGATTTAATTTGTCATTGGCTGTTAGCAATTTGGAATGATTCTAAATATTTAAGTACATTGATATCATTATTATGTCTTTCTAGAAATTCTTAACTTACATTTTACTTTTATATTGCCATTGAAATAAGTAATAAATTGGAGGTCACGAATCAAATTTAGTTATCCAGTGAAGGTTCAGGAGATTTAAAATTGAGCTTTATTTGAGCTTTCTAGTCATTCTTCACCCTGAATTAAATAAACACAGTAAAATGGACAGTTTCTTTTTTATATATAAAGCAGAGCTATACATACATAACTATATAGACCGCAGGTCTGTGTTACCGAGTTTTCTTGGAAGTTTCAATTACATAAACATTCAAAACACTCTAAACGGAGGGGGCAATAAGAAAAAGAATCGGTTGAGAAACCCATGCTCCAAACCCAAGGAGAAAGTGCAGAAAGGAAAGCAAAAAGAGAAGTAGAAAGTAAGGGAAACGTTCAGAAATTGAAAACTCCCATGTCCCCTACTTAAACCACACACACAAGGGAAGATGTTCAGAGAACCCAGGGCCATGGTTCCCAGACTTGCCCACTCCAGCCAGGCCAGCAGCATCTGCAGGATCCCCAATGGCCCTGCCCTTTTCCTTCTTGGTGGCCCTGGTGGTGCTCAGCTGCAGCTCCCTCTGCTCTCTGGGATGTGACCTGCCTCAGAGCCATGGCCTGTTCGCCTGGAGGGCCTTGACGCTCCTGGGACAAATGAGGAGAATTTCTGCTAGCTCTTGTAACAAGTACACAAGTGACTTTGCCTTCCCCCAGGAGGTGCTTGATGGCAAGCAGTTGCAGAAGGCTCAAGCCCTCTCTGTCGTCCATGTGATGAACCAGAAGATCTTCCACCTCTTCTGCACAGAGGCCCCATCTGCTGCTTGGAACGAGACCCTCCTAGAGGAATTCTGCTCGGGACTTTCTGAGCAGCTGACCGACCTGGAAGCCTGTCCCATGCAGGAGGCGGCGGGGGCAGAGACTCCCCTCATGAAGGTGGACTCCATCCTGAGGAACTACTTCCAAAGAATCTCCCTCTATCTGCAAGAGAAGCAATACAGCCCTTGTGCCTGGGAGATTGTCAGAGCAGAAGTCACGAGCTCCTTGTTTTCATCAACGATCTTGCAAGAAAGATTAAGGAGCAAGAAATGAGACCCTTTTCAACATAAAATGATTTTAATTGACTAATAATCATACTTTCCCTTGTTCTGCTGTGTCAAAGAATGTCACTTCTGCTGTTATGGTGACATGAACAGTCAATTTTTCAAGTTTTTTCTGAACATGTGAACCATACAAGCAGTATTTGCTTACAGATGACCATGTTCATGTATTTATATATTTAAATATTTATTTTTGTTAATATTTATAAGATTCAGATTTTCATATAATATGTGCACCTTTACATTGCAGAATATAATAAAATATATTTTTAATATTTAATCAGTTTATCACTTTTTTCTTTATTGAATGGTTGTTTTATTTATTTATTCATTTTAAAGATTTTATTTATTTATTTGAGAGAGAGACAGAGAGAGGGCACACAGAGAGAGAAGGAGAAGCAGTTTCCCCGCTTAGTGGGAGACTGATGTGGGGCTTGATCCCAGGACCCCGAGATTTTATTAACTTGAGAGTGAGAGAGAGAGAGATCAGAAGCAGGGGCAAGGGGGAGAGGGAGAGGGAAGAGCAGACTTCTCGCTGAGCAGGGAGCCCAAGGTAGGGCTCCATCTCAGGACCCCGAGATCATGACATGATCCGAAGCCTGACACTTAATCGACTGAGCCACCCAGGTGCCCCTCTTTATTGAACTTTTACTACTGGCATTCTTTTAAAAGAGTAACACTAAGTCTAATTGTGCAACTTGATTGAAAATTGGATGGCAATGCATTTACCCATCATACTACATTAACATTGGAAATAACAACTCACTTCCTGTAAGACAACTTGCATGTTATCCTTAGGCTATAGGACACAATAAATACAGTTCCTGATGTCTATATCTTTCATTATTGTAGGTATAGGAATCTAAAAACATTCCTCTGACTTAGTGTTATAATAAAGAAGGGAAGGAAGTGAATTCTCTCACCTGGTGCCAAAATGGAGGTGGTCAGAAAGTACACATAAAAGGTGTGGACCCCTGGACAGGTGACTGGTAGACATGGAGGCACAAATGTCCAGTGTCAGGGGAGAGGTGATCTTACATTTGACAAGAAATGCCATGGCTGAGGTCCATATCTAGCAGGGAATGCCAGAAATAGAGGTGTTCATGCGGGGAGACTGTGTAGTGTGAGAAACAAACACAAACTTGATTCTAAGGCTCTGTAACCATTAAAGGGAGGGGAGAGAAGAGCCACAAGGAGACAGTGGACTCATGGCCATACAGTACACAGATAACAAGAGAGGATGCCGATGAGTATATTTAAGGACATAAATGTACTTCGAAGACCATCAGTGGATTCCTGGAAGATGTGGATTGAAACTGCCTGGCGTGTCAGAAAACTAGATGCCTTTGCTGACCTCATGAGAGTCGGTTGGGTGGAATCATAAGCAGAGACCACACTGGAGCTGATGGGAGCATACATAGAATTCCTGTTTTGGAGGCCTTCAGTGCGTCTGAAGTGGAGAAGAATATAGCATGGGATCTGGGAATAATGGGGTTCGTTTTTCTGTGCATAGTTTGCCCTTTTATGCCGTATGTTTCTTCTGGAGTGATTTCATGGAATTGATGTTCTGGCAAATCTTATTAATGGGTTTAATACTGTATTATTTTGAATCATGACTTAATTACTGACAATGGTTTATCCTGTCTTGGTTCTTACTACCTTGTATATCAAAGTTGCTCAGCTTTAAGAATTCACTAGGCAGGAATAGATAACTCATTCAATCCTTCATCAAATTATCTATTACTACTGATAAAAAAAAAGTTCCTGGAATGACTGGCTTTATTAATTATGTTCCTTAACTTCTCATTGTGACCCTGTTTACTACAGCAGCATTATACCGCATTTCTTTTTCTAGAGAGTTTGATATGATAAGAATTTTTTTCTGTTACTCACTGGTAATGTTACCTAATTTTATGAACATCACAATCTTTAGTGCATCTCCGAATAACAAAGTACTCATGCACATGAAGACTGACAGACTTTCTTCAAAAATGAGAGTGGCAAGCTGTACAGACATTCTCTTTCTTAATATTTAAAGCAAAGAAAAAAAATTGGTCAAAATCAGCTGAAAATACAACATGAGTCATGGAAATCCATAGAAGAGTGAGTTGTATATAACTCAGGAGTAAAAACAGATTTAACAAGTATAACAGAATATTGTGAATATTAACTGAACTCATGCACTTTAAAGGCACCTAGCATTGCATCTTCCATAAAGGAACGACTTAAATATGGTACATATGCTCTTGTTTTAATTCTGACAGCTACATAAGAGAATACTGTTTGTCTCTTTCTACAAAATTCTTCAGAACTGTGTGTCCTACGCTTCAGTAACTGACCTCCAAAGGGGAGACTAATGAGTGTTCAGGAATTTAAGTAAAAGATTGAACAATAGGAACACCTGGGTGGCTCAATTGGTTGAGCACCCGACTCTTGATCTCAGCTCAGGTCTTGATCTCAGAGTGTGAGTTCAAGCCCCACGTTGGGCTCCGCCCTGTGTGTGGAGCCTACTTTAAAAAAATGAAAAAATTGAAAAGTAAGAACTGTGGTGGCAAATAAATGTATTCCCTTACTCAAGGTAAAATGATTACAGTGGGGTCTTTCCTCTACTTGGAGAAAACAAAC